CTCTTTTTGCTGAGGAAGACTGGCCCTGAGCTATCATCCGTGCCCATCTTCCTCTACTTTATATGTGGGATGCTGCCACAGCATGGCTTGACAAGTGGTGTGTAGGTCTGCACCCAGGATCCAAACTGGCAAACCCCAGGCCACTGAAGTGGAACACATGAACGTAACGGGTATGCCATTGGGCTAGCCCCCCAACTCACTTTTGAGTGACTGCAAATTTTGTGGTACCCCTTGTTCTTCCTGTTTATTTTCTTTTTCTTCTGCATTACTCATTCTAAAGCACAGCTCTGATTATGCTACTCTTCTCATCTTCCCTCTAGGCTAGAGAATTGAAATCCAAACTCCCTATCCAAGTATTCAGAGCCCTTTCGAGATGGCTGCACCTATCCTCCTGACTCATTCTTCTGTAGCCATGTCTTGACTATCATTCTCTCCACTGCAACCTACTCCCTTTTCCTCCCTGCCTCATTGCATCCCTTTTCACTTTAAGATCCCCTTTATGTCCCTCAATATCCACAACAATCACTTCATCCCACCTTACTCTTAGAAAGATCCTCCTGTTAAAATAAACGGATTTTTGGGGGCTGGCCCCATGGCTGAGTGGTTAAGTTCGGGCACTCCACTTTGGCAGCCCAGTGTTTTGCAGGTTCGGATCCTGGGTGCAGACATGGCACCACTCATCAGGCCATGTTGAGGCGGCATCCCACATGCCACAACCAGAAGGACCCACAACTAATATACACAACTATGTACTGGGGGGATTTCGGGAGAAAAAGCAGAAAAAAAAAGATTGGCAACAGTTGTTAGCTCAGGTGCTATAAATTAATTAATTAATTAATTAATGGATTTTTGAGGCTGGTCCAGTGGCATAGTGGTTAAGTTCTGCACACTCCACTTTGGCTGGATCCTGAGTGCGGATCTAGCACCACTTGTCAAGCCATGCTGTGGTGTGGTCTCACATAAAAAAATAGAGGGAGACTGGCAGATGTTAGCTCAGTGACAATCTTCCTCAAGCAAAAAGAGGAAGATTGGCAACAGACGTTAGCTCAGGGCCAAGCTTCCTCACAAATAAATAAATAAATAAATGGATTTTCAAAAATTGCGGTGATACACATTGCTACAGTCTTCAATTCTGAAAGAAATATAGACAATGCCCCATTTGGGAAATGAGCTTTTCCAAAAAAGGGAAGAAGTTTCACTTACGTTTTTTGTTTGTTTCTTCAACGGTATTAACACTAGAGATTTTACATCCCCTCCCGTCTAGGCATGGTGCTCTCTATATAGCAACAGCTCCTCAATTAACGTCAAGCTTTCCTTATTTATTTATTTACTGAACGCGATTGCATGAGCAAATTTACCCACAGAAGTACAATTTCGTCAGCCTACTATTAAGTTGTTTTTTGTTTTTTTTTTTTAAATTTCCAGAACTATAAACTTTGGAACCTGGCTATGTACAGGAATCATCAGGAGAGTTAAAACAACAACAACAACTCAGGCTTCACCCCAGAACAATAAAATCAGAATCTTTGGAGGTAGGATTTGGACTGTAGGACTTCTGAAAGCACCCGAGGGGATTACAATGTGTAGCCTAAATTAAGAACCACTGCTCCAGATTAAACTTCCCATTTTAGCGAAGAGGAAAGTGAGGCCCAGGCCCAGCTAACCTGACCACCTGAAGACACACAGTTAATTCCCAACAAGGACAGGGCCACATTAAAGCCTCAGGATATCTTTCCATTGTCCTTTCCACATTACCGCTGCCTGAAACACATTTCTAGGCTAGTTGAATAGCTTTTTTTTTTTTTTTTAATTTTTTTTTTTTTAAAGATTTTACTTTTTCCTTTTTCTCCCCAAAGCCCCCCGGTACATAGTTGTATATTCTTCGTTGTGGGTCCTTCTAGTTGTGGCATGTGGAACGCTGCCTCAGCGTGGTTTGATGAGCAGTGTCATGTCCGCGCCCAGGATTCGAACCAATGAAACACTGGGCCGCCTGCAGCGGAGCGCGCGAACTTAACCACTCGGCCACGGGGCCAGCCCCAAGTTGAATAGCTTTTTAATCCCATGGACGTCTTTAATCTTCACAATGAAGTGAATTAGTAACGGCAAAATTGACTGGATTTAAAAATGTAAAATTAGAAGCATCACTTTTCATTTTGGGATGCCTCCCAAAAATTCCTATTCAGAATTGTTCTGAGATGGTCTGATGGGTGTAGTTCAACCGTCCAAGACGTGAAACGCAAAAGCCCATTCTAATCAACCAGAAAAACAACCTCGTGGGAAAGCTGAGCTAATCTCTGAAATTCTCCCTAGCACTAACATTTTATAAGTTATGATTGTGCTTAAATGTATTGTTCTCCATGTCTCACACAGTCTCTTGCACACATTCGCTAGGTGAATAAATGTATGAACGGATGTAAGGAGGCATGGAAGCTAGGGGACGCACTGAAAGCCAGGTCACAGTATCTTTCCTGACGAATGACACCTAAGTTGCCCCAATCAGAACCTGACAGTCATGCTGGCCTCCTCTCCGCCTCCCTCCATCCCCTCATCTAACAGGAGAAGAAGAGTACAGCTCTGGGTCCTCTCTCACATGTTCACCTTCCTTCACCTCTAGCTCAGGCCTTCACCATCTCCCACCCGGACCTCTAATATAGAGCAAATAAACTTCCCATGGCCACACTCCCCCTTTCAATCTACTCTCTAGTCATCTTCTAGAACACAAACCTTGCCGCATCACTCTCCTTAACTAGCAGAGCTTTCAAGTTGAGTTTAACTTTCTGCCTCTTGCTCCATGCATCCCACACTCCAGCCACTCCCAACTCTGCGACATCAGCTCTTTCCTATAGCGTTCCTTCTGCCTGGAGGGCCTTCCTCCCAGATCCACCTGAGCAAGCCCCAGCATCATTTAAGATGCTATGTAAATGACACTTGTCTGTGACCATTTCTTCCACCTTACATGGAACTAGGCCTCTCCCTTCTTGGGGTTTCCCAAGTATACACTGCTTTTATTACCCTTTCTAAAATCACGTTGTAACTGTCAGTTCTTGTCTGTCTCCCCAGTAAGCTCCTCAATTATCCATTCACCAAGTACTTATTAAGTACCCTGACTGTCTGACCATCTCCCATGTACTGGGAATACAGCAGCGAAGGAAACAAGCCTCTGTTCTCGTGGAGCTCACAGTCTAGTAGGGGAAATGGAAAATATAAATATATTTTATAGAAAGTGTCAGGTAGCGATCAGTGATATGAAAAAGCAGGAAACATGCGTGCCATTATGCAAAAGGCGGTTGAAGAACTCCTCCTGTATTCTGTAATATTTGAGCACAAACCTGACAAAAGTGAAGGAAGAAGTCATGCCAAGAACCAGGAAAAGATATCTAGGGCAGCAAAGTGTGATCCACGCAAAAGGATATGTAAGTGTGAAGGCCTCCTTGAAGACTTATTCACCTTTTCCTGCCCCATCGCTAAGCAGACCTTGGCAAAAGTCCAGTAAATATTGGATGAATTATTGCTAAGCTCATGGCCTAGTGGCGATATCACTCTGCTTCACCTCTAGTGGGTCCCCTTTGCCTACATGAAAGACACCCAAACTCCAAAGAGCTCTGTACTCCCCTGCTGAGAACGACCTAACAAACAGTGGTCTTTTAAGGGCAGCTCAAATGCCACTCAACAATCCCCTCCCTCTGTATTCTTACAGCACCTAGGTTTTACTTCCTCTGTGGGACATACTCCCTATTGCTTTATATTGCAAATATCCGTGTAGAGATATCATCTTCCTTCAAATTCTTGAGAACCCAGATCACGACTTTGATTTTGCACAATTCTGTTCTTCACAGATCATCTAGCTCAGGGACTTCCACACAAGAACAGCCCTCAACAGAGTGACTGGATAAATTCAAACTAGATTAGGAAAATATTCAGAAAGGCTAGCTCCCCACCAAAGGCTTTAGGAGTGCAGAGGAGCAGAGTACAACTCTCCTTCTAGGAAGGCTGTCACAATAAGGGTTTTCATAATTATCTTTTATAATGCAGTCTCATGGGTCTTTTATATTTTTTCCTGGCTGAGTAGGGAGGTTAGTCAAGTTCTCAAGGGAATTTCTGAAGCCTTAATAGATGTTTCAATAGCTGGGAAGGGTGGGGTGGGGACTAGGACCTGGCGTTCATAGCGGAGGTGATTTCTGTGGCTGGTGGGGCCACACCCAGTCGTTATCCAATTTTCCTGTCCTCACAAAGTGCGGCTGCCTCCACCTTTCCTTAGTTGAGCCTTTCTACCAACTTTCTCTGCTCTCTTCCAAGAGCGGACAAAGTAACCAAAAAAATGGACAATGGGGGAAGGAATACAGAAGTTAATTATTTAGAAGAGAAGAAAATCCTTACTAACAACCCCTCTTCCCACGATACAGGGGGAAAGCTCCAGCAGTTAAGAAAACATGCTGAACAGCCTGCCCTTAGCTGCCAGTCTGCGGCAGTGACTCGTGCCTGAACCAATCACATAGTCACCAGATTTGAAAATCTACCACGAGGAAGAGCATAAATTCCCTTCTAACTCACTGCAAACGGTCCCAGGAAGAGGAGACTAGGTAAGATGTGGAACCGACGATTTTAAAAGATTTTGAAGGGACCAGGAAAAGGGAGGTAAAGCTCTGTCCCAACACCCCTCAATCCAGAGCGCTTTAATGAATCTCCATCCCTGACTTCCCCCACCTTCTCCATGTGCCCCTTTAACTACCCTCTACGCTCTCCATCTCCGCGCAGGCCATCCATTGCTTGCTCTGTTACCTGTTCACTAAGTCTCCAGGCTCGGGCAAAAGTGTGCAGCCGAAGAGCCGGCCGGCACAGAAGGGGTGCGGACCGAAGGCGCCGGCACCCGAGCGCTGGTTCCACCTCTGAAGATATGCGCTCCGCCCTCCACGCGGCCTCCGAGCCGCGCTAGAATCCCAGCTAGTTAGCCCCGCCCCCTAGCTAGGCCCCGCCCTCTGGGCAGAGAGCTTTTTAGCCCTCGGCAGACGCCGTAGTCGTCCCACAGGCTCGGCCCGACTCTTTCTGCGCTGGCTGACAGTGTACATCGCGGTGCGCGGTCGGTGGGCGGATCTGGCGCCTCCCACGCCTGACTCCCGGCCTCTGCAGTCAGACCCCCGAGGCAGAGAGAGTGTCGCTTTCTCTGTCTTCAGACTCCTGCAGTGGCCCCTGAGTTAATGCTCCCTCTTGCGATTGCTCCAGCGCCCGGGTGCAGGCCGAGCAGCCCCTGTTTTCTGCGGACCAGGCGGGTGGGTGCGCGTCCTTCCTCCTCCTCGTTCTCCCCCCGCACTCCCGCAGCCCCCGCCCCCTCGCGCCGCGTCTCCTCCCCGGCTGCGGGCAGACCGCTCCACACCGCCGCAGCGCATCGCGTGTGGACGGCCTACGAGAGGCACACACGCCCACATCCACTCCGCCACCGCTGCCCAGCATGTCGGCGCTCGAGTGGTACGCCCACAAGTCCCTGGGCGACGGCATCTTCTGGATTCAGGAACGCTTCTATGAGTCGGGCAACCGTGCCAACATCTGGCTGGTGCGCGGCTCCGAGCAGGACGTGGTGATCGACACGGGCCTGGGGCTGCGCAGCCTCCCGGAGTACCTGTACTCCTCCGGCCTCTTGCAGGACCGCGGGGCCAAAGAGGACTCGGCGTGCCGGCCGCTGCTGGCCGTGGCCACCCACGTGCACTTCGACCACTCCGGCGGCCTGTACCAGTTCGACCGGGTGGCGGTGCACCACGCCGAGGCCGAGGCGCTGGCTCGCGGGGACAACTTTGAGACCGTGACCTGGCTGTCGGATAGTGAGGTGGTGCGGGCGCCCAGCCCTGGCTGGAGGGCCAGGCAGTTCCGAGTGCAGGCGGTGCAGCCCACCCTCATCCTGCAGGATGGTAATGGGCCCTCACGGGCGCGCGCTCTCTCATTAAGGGAGGTGATTGGGGAGAAACCTGTCCGAGGGATGCATGTTGTAGACGTCCGTGGCTGCAAGGGGCTTGTTTTGTTACCTTCTAGAAACAGCACTTCTGTTTCTCCCTTCCCCGAGTCAAAGCCCACTCGACTGGAGCCAAGGCTATGCAGCCTTCCCTACCCAAGACTAGCTCTGGCACAGTGTAGCAATGCCGCGTACTCGAGTGAAAGCTGGCCCCACCCCCTAGTCAGTTTCTTGGGTAAGGTACAGTAGTAACACTACAGAGACTTGTGACTAGGTATTTCCCGTTCTTTTCCCGAAAACCTGCCTGACATTTCCAGGCGCTTTTCTAGCGAACCGACTTTTAAGGAATGACTCCTCGCTGAGAGTGCATGTCATGCTCTCTGCTTTTGAGAACTGCTGACTTCATCAGCTCGGTCAGCGGTAACCGCTGGGTAGGAGCAATTCCCACCTGTAGGCTTAGAAAGCTTTTAGAGAGCAGTGGTTCCAATCTGCTCATGCATCCTTATCTGCTAAATAGGTTTCTGTTCTTGATGTTGCCTCACGAGAGAGAGAGCTTGATAGTGAACATAAAAAGTAGAATATGGCTGAGTCTTATATGATGAGATATCTGGTCTGGTTGAAAGCAAGGCCTGAGAAAGACTAATAAGGAGGTTATTTCCGGTGATGGTGAATTATGTGGACTAATGCATAGGTAGCTGTGGGCCTCTGGCTCTATGAAAGACAGGATGGTGATCAGAGAGAAATTATCAGAATAAAATAAAATAGAGTAAGGCCCCAATCCTCCTAACCTCAAACAGGCCTTAAATAATTGAGCTAATTAGCCACAGCAGGATTATTTGTGTATTAATTTCCTTTTTTTATTTTTAGAATACTTTTGTTGATTTCATTTTATCCTTACAACACATTTGAATTGAGACGGCTGAAGATAGTGACAAAAGCTAGGATTTGAACCAAGGCACAATAGATCAAAGCATGCAGAGCATACATAAATCCTACTCCATAAATATATTATGGTAATTCTGAGTAGGATGTGAAACCCCCTTCTCTCCTTTCTGTGTTGAAACCATTTTGATTGCCAGTGTAATCTATTAGACTGTTCCTGTAAGAGCTAGAAAAATCCAGTTGCTGCAGTACAATAAGGCTCACTTTATGACCAACCAATATGACAAATAATGAAATACTCTCCAAAAATCAGTTTATCTTACAGGTGAGATCTTGATCACTTGAAATACAGAAAGAGAAAGCGAGATTCTGTACCTCACAGCCCAACTAAAAAGTCTTTTCATTAAAATTTTAAATCTAAAGATTAAAAAAAGAATGGTTTAGATGGGAGTCTTACATTATCTGACAATTTGAGATAAAAGAAAAATACACTTACATTAAACGTACTTTTAATTACTGTATTTCTTGATGAAGTTGATTTTAGAGGTATGATTTCCATGCAGTTGATGGGTATTCAGACTAAATTCTGGCACCCAGACCAAAGAATGTTTACATTAGTTCTTAAAATACATTTAAATTGCCTAAACAAATACATTACTTTTGATTTATTTACTTTTGCTCCTGTCCCAGCAGTAGGAAATCAATGATGAAAGAATAGTAGGAATTATTGTTTTATAGATGAAGAGTCCAGTCAGGCCTGAATATCAGACCTGAGGTCACATAGCCAGTTTTTGAGAAAGAGCTGGGACTAGAATCCAGGTTTCCTAAATCCTGGTTGATGGTAGAATTATAGCATTTTGGAGGTACAAGGGCCCTGCCAGCTACCTGTGTGGTGCTTTAAGCCTTTGAAGGTGTGAAAAGGAAGCTTAATATTTACCGAACACATGGAAGGTGATAATACTGTGTTAAATCCAAAATTGTTTTTCATTAGGAGCTGGATGCCTCATCCTGTCAAGTTGTATCTAATTTCCTCTTTTCTCAGGAATATTAATTTCCTGTCTCTTCTGAATAGTATGGCCTGCTAACTGGATATTCTCATAATCCAGATGCCTGGAAAGAGATAAAATATTTATATTAAGAATTCATACACAGTTACACACACACATGAACAGCACATACCCAAACAATATAAAGTCTTCATTGCTTTGGTTAGAACATAAGGAGGCTGAAGTCATTAGTTTATATTGCATTTCATTTAGTGAATTGATGATCACCTCTCAAGGAGAAACATAAATCTGTGCCCTGTATCACTAACCCAAAAGCTGATTTGTAAATGAGGGACAAAGAGGACAAGGAGAGATCATTATCCAGTGCATCATCTTCGATGGAAAAACGACTCTCCTTACTAATACTGAAATAGCATCTTCTCATAAGAAGATAGCAGTAACCCTTAGAGTGGTACACTACATTCTTCTTGAACGGGCACACATTACTTTGTCTATTTTTCATAATATTCAAGTTATATAAAGTGCAGGCATTTTGGCCCCTATTATACAATTTGCCCAGAGTCACAAAGATACTAGAGCAGTTTTTTTCAGGTGGACTTGAATAGTTTGGGGAGGTTAAAAACAAAAAGTAGATTCCAGAAAGGTAGCAGATTGAACAAACCCATCTAATTTGACTCCTACCCAAAACCCCACTAAGACTACTGTAAAGGGACCGTGGTTTGTCTGTTTTAAGTTTAAATCCACACTGACTGAGGAACACTATTTCAGACGCTGGAGAGTAACTGTGATGACTGAGTTAGCAGTTTCCTGCAATGCCAGCAAAGGGAAATCAAGAGCCAGTCCAGTTTGCATTGCAGGAGCCTTCCTGCAGCCTTAGAAATTAGCAGTAGCTGGTACCTTCATGGAGGCAAAGGGAAGAATACTAAAATAAGTAAAATTGGTTGAAAGCCATTTAAGAAGCTGTTAAAACTAGAACGCTTCTTCCTAAGTGAATGCCCATCCAGTTAGTTTGTTCTCTGGGGAGAGTAAAACAGAAGGGTTTCTTGATTGGGGAATGCTAATTACTACTGAACTGAGGGGTTCAGTATGGAAGATAAGAGGAATAAGTGTGTGTGTGTTTATATACATATATATTGCCTACTAGTTTCCCAGAAGGAAGAAGCCAGGCCTTTACCCTCCAGGTAGAAAATTGGGAGAATCTTATCTGGAAAATCTGCCTAGCCCTAGAGGAAAGACTGAGTTGTTGATCCCTAAGGAATCCTTGGCTTGATCTCTCTACAGTGAGGCCTAGGTCACCAGGTCCCCTGCATGTGCTTCAAGCAGCCTTTTCATCCCCTACTCTTAAACAGGCAATCAAGCATTATGAAAAATCTGAGAAAATCCTCTAACGTGAGATCAAATACTGAGAGAGACAGCATAAAGCAACTTGAGAGGGGAGGACTATCATTAAGATCATGAGGGGATAACAGAAACTATTGCATTCAAGATATCCAAGAAATAATAGGATGCTTTAAAAATAAGACACAGGCAGAACAATATCCACACACACACACGCACAAAAGAGCTCTTGGAATTTAAAACATCAGAAATTACTTAGTGGAAGATCCAGAAGATAATGTTGAAAAACTTACAAAAAGTCCAGATAGGCAAAATGAAAACTAGGAGAGAACAGGTAAAGGACCAGTTTGGGAAATCCAACATTGAAATAATAGGAGCACAGAGAGAGAATAGAGAGAGTGGAGGAAAAGAAACCATAGTAAAGATAATCCAAGAAAATGTCCCCAAATTAAGGGATGTAAATTTCTAGATTGAAAGGGCCCACACAGTTCCCAGCACAATGGATGAAAACACAGCCAACCTAAGGCACATTATTGTAAAATTTCAGAATACTGGGGTCAAGCTTCCAAAAACTTAAACAAAAAAGGTCATCTCTACAGATCATAATGGCTTTGGAGCTAGAAAAGAAGAGCTATGCCTTATTTGAATAAAATTGATTTCCAATTTAGAATTGTACATCCATTCCACTAACAATCAAGTTCTCAAAAAATTGTTTTCCATATGCTATTACTTAGGAAGCTAATAAGATCTACCTTTATCCTATTCACTCCCTTCAAACCAAGGGAGTAAACCAAGAGGAAGCATGGAATACAGGAAACAGGAGATCTAATGCAAGAGAAAGTTGAAAGGAAGCACCAGGATGATGGCAAAGGCTGACTCTCTGACAATGATAGTACCCCAGGCATAGAGGGCTCCAGAGTGGAGCAGATGAATCATTAGTCTTTTGGAGGGTGAGAGGATGAAAAATGTATAGTACATGTGTGGTTATAGTAGGTGGCAAGTGAGGAGAAAAGAGAACTAAAAATGCTTATGTTTCACAGTGAAAGTCAACAGACAACATCTAAAATTTAAAAACCAAGAAATGGTAATACGTGAATGAAATCAGTACAGTGTATCTAATTGGTAAATCAAGAGATGGAGTATGAACATTACTTAGAGATCACTACCTCTACCAGAAGAAATAGCTACAATTGTTAAAAGCGGTTGCCTGTTAGGAGCAGGATTGGAGATAGAATCAGAATAGGACGAAGAACTTTTTCTTACATTTTAAGAACTTCTAGGATATTTTATTTGAAATATGTATATATATTTTTTGATTAAAAATGAAATAAAAATAAAAGATGGGGAATGCGAAGATGGGAAAGTGTATTTGGGAAGCCAAGGGAAATCTAGTATGGCTGGAATCTGGTGACAGCTGGGTCAGGGTGAGGGCTTGCAAGGATAGAGTGTGTGTGTGTATATGATATTTATTTATATATATATGATATTTATCTATATGGATACATTTCATAGGCAGTTCTGGTTCTTTTAAGAGGTCTTGATGAAATTGTATATGTGAACATTATAAGCATATGGGAGGCATTTATAAAGCCACAGGGAAATGGCAGATCTAATAATATTCAGCCACTATGGCCTTAATTGCTTGCAGTGGTATCGATTTTCATACGTGGATTCTTATATCTTATCTGTTGCTAAATATTTTGAATATCACCTAGATATAACCAAAGATCAA